GGAGGAGGGGATGGAAGGGAGGACCCTTCAATTCCAGGCCTGGGTTGGGGAAGAATTAACTTGAGAATCTCAGAACTGCAGCAGGTCCAGTGCTTAACCTTCCCCACCACACCCTTGCCCTGGGAATGCCCCTTACCACATTGGCTTCCATTCCCGACATTTCGACTGGCTCCTGCACTTGAAGGACAAGGCAGCCACAGGGCAGCTCTGGAGGCTTGGGGACGCAGGAGGCGTGACGCCTTCATATCAGGCCATCTTAAGGAACCAGACTCCTCTTCCTGTGAAAGACCCCCCACAGGAGACTCAGTGGCCACCACACAAGCCCCACAAAACCAGGCCCTGCAGACCCATGACTAACGCTGAGGCTTCTCTGACATTTCACAGGGGGAGAAAACCAGCCGAAGAGGCTTCCCTCACCCAACAACAAATCCAGACCCTTAAAGGTTCTATTTCAGATTCGCTATACGAGCTTGGCCAACGCTGGGAGCCTTCCTGAGCCCTTAGGTTTCCTGAGGCAAAACTTCTAAAGAATATATACGTATAACTGAATCACTGTGCTGTACACCAGAAACATGACATTGTAAATCAACTATTAATAAAAAAAAATTTTTTTTAAGTTGACAAGAAAGAGAAAACAACAAGCAAACTTCTTAAGATGTAAACAGAGCCCTTTGGAAGTTAAAAAAGCTCATGGGAAAGCCAGAGTTGTAGGTACCATCCAAGCCCAACATTCATTCCTGTGGATAAGATGTAAAAAGGCCAGCATGTGCCACCCAGGCTAGCGCTGCTGGGCCCCCATAAGGGGAAGAGGTAAAACAGACAACAGTACAAAGAACAGCCAACCACCCGTAGCCAAACTGTCTACTGGGCTACAGGGGAAAAGAGCCAAGTGTTTATCCTGGCTCAGCCATCTACTGGCTTAGTAGCCACAGGCAAGTCACAGGAACTTTCTGAATGTTGGTTTCTCCATCTGTAAAAAGGTGACAGGAAGAGCTGCCACTCGAAGTTAGCTTAAGAGTCAATCAGTGAAACGGGATTTTAAAGTACTTAATGAACTGTTAAAGCAAGACACAGATGGGTGGAGTCGCTGCTGACTGGATTCCTCACAGCTGCCCTTGCATGGTGAGCAGCTGCAGTCAATGAGCTCATTCAGTGCCTTGTTCATCAAACACCAACAATACTCACTCTGTGCCAGGCCCTGTGCTGGGCACTGTAGGGGCTATGGAAGGAGTAAGACACAGCCATGCTCTCAAGGAACTCATAATCTAGACGAGAGATAGGACCTGAATACATAATTCTAGCAGAGGCTGAATATCACTGCTTAAGAAAGGCACACCAGGCAGGTGGCCAGGTGAGTTCAGCCCCCGGCCCCAAGGCCCCAAGGTGACTTCAGAGGGGGTAAGAAGGGGAGGAAAACAGCAACACCACCACAGGTCTAGGAAAGGAATGTGAAGAGATATGTAAAGCGCAGAGTATGGTAAGGCCGCAAAGGTAGATGGTGGGGGGTGGGGTGGGGTGGGGTGTTCAAGGGCTGGGAATGCCCTGGGTAAGAAGTCACTGGGGAGCCAAGGGCAGCCTCTGAAGAGGGGCTGGGCTGCGCTGACCGAAGCAGCTCTTTCTGGAAACCTCCCTTGGAGGGTCTCTCTCCTACCGCTAGGAGAGGAGGTATCACTCACTCACTTTACAATACATGAGGAAAAGAAGCTAGAGAGAGGAAGGGACTGGTTTAAGGTCACTCAGTGGTCACGGCAGTAGAAAGTCTGCAGACCCTGCTGCCTCCTGCACGGGCTCCATCTTCTCAGCAAATTCAAGCCTTTTATCAAAGTCCTTTTGTGTGCCGGGCTCTTTGCTGAATTTCAGTGGCTGCCACAAGCTCCATACAACACTGTTTCCCTGTGTTTCTCACTTTAGTCACTGCAGCCACTTCCTCTCCAAACTTACCTCCAAACTCAGCTGGGCCTAACCCTCACACGACAGCCAGGGGACTCTCTCTACAGTGCTAATCATATCCCTGCCATGCTTCAAACCCCCTATGCTTGCTAGAGCCAAGAGGATAACGTCTAGACTCCTCAGTATGGCCGGCAGGCCGTCCCCAATCAGGCCCAACCTCATCTTTCTCTGCCCTGTGTACCCAACTCACCGCAGCCTACAAGGCCTGTCCACTCCGGTCCCTGCACACTTCACAGCCACACCTGCTTTAGCCTTGCCCTCCAGCCACGCTGGCCTTGTCCACACTATTGCCTCTGCTCGAAACACCAGCACCCCCTTCTCCAAGCTCATCCTTAATCATTTCTGGAGCTCAACTCAAGCATCGCCTCCCCTTCTCCGCCCGGCACCCCGCGTTTCCTTCGAGCAGCAGTAACTAGGTAACGGTGTGCTGTGCAGTTTGTCCGAAGGGCGGGGACTTCCCAGGCACAGCCCAGCGCTCGCTCAGTACACAGCAGGCACTCCAGCATTTGTTCAATTAAGACACGGACCAACGAGAACGCCGACTTAGCCTTGAACCCTCCACAAGCGTCTGGCTAGAAGACGCCCCCAGCTCGCTGGCTGCGCCGGCTGGTTCCCACCACCTCTGCGCGCGCACTGCCCCTTCCGACGCTGCTGCCCCAGTGTTTACACGCGGTCCCCCGCCGGAGACGCAGCGCCTCCCGAGCGGGGCCTGGCCGCATCACCCCGGTCCCCGCCGAGGCCGCCGCGCTCGGCGCAGTTCTGCGCCGGGGGAGCCGCCGCGAGGACCTTGCCCGGGACACGCCTCCCCTCCCCCGCAACAGCCCGACCCGACAGGGCCAAGGTCGGCCAAGTTTTCGCCGCAGCTCGGGCGGCCCTTGGACCCACAGGCCCGGGGCCGGGTCCCGGAAGGAGCAAGGAGGCGGCAGAAACGAGAAGCCTCTGGTGCAGCTGGGTGACTCGGGCGAGCAACTGCCCCTGGGGACTCAGTTTCCCCCCTGACATAGTGAGGCGGACGACACGGGCTCCCGCGAGAACCGGCGCGGGCACAGCAGCCGCGGGCACCGCACAGCGCCCGGCACTAGGCCGCGCGACAGCCGGGCCGGAAGGCCGCGCTCCCGCTCCAGGGCGGCGCTCGGACCTAGTCTCACCTCACACTGCGGCTCCGGACTCACTCACCTCACGGCCCCTCCTACCACAGCGGGCCGCCCAGCCTCAACCGCCCTCACTTCCGCTGACCCGCCCCCCGGAAGCGATCCCTAGCAGCTGCGCACCGAGCCGCGGCGGCGCTCGCCCTAGGAAGGCGGGCCCTGCTGGGGGCGGGGCGAGCGAGGGCTCTGCGGGGTGGGGGCGGTGCACTTGCGGATCCCGAGGGAGAAGGCACGCCCATCCGAGGCCGCGCCTCAGCCTGTCAAAGCCCCGGGGAAAAGCTGATTGCGCTTGGAGATCCCTGAGGCCTGCCTGGTCTCATCCGCCGCTGGTCTCGGCCTCCTTGGCGCTCTCCGCCTTTAGTCCCGAAGCGACTTCTGGAAGGGGTCTGAGTTGCTATTCGGCCCCACAATTGATCGGTGACTGCTGTCCCCACCCCTAGTGCAAACTTCAGAATCCTCCCTCTGGCGTTCAAGGCCCCAGACTTACTGCTTGGTTGCCTCATCTCGCCCTGGTGCCTTCACAGTTCATGCTTCCCAGCCAAGACCCTCTACAGTCTTCTCTGCAGCAAGAATGCGCCTCTTCTCTGACTCCTGCCCTCCAGTGCTTTGTAGCTTTCTTTTATTTTAGCCTTTATGTATCTCTCTCTCTCTCTCTTTCACACACACACACACACACACACACACACACACACACACACACACACACACACACGGTACAGTGAGTTGGTTGATCAGATGGGTAGATTGATGGGGAAAGACACCAGAGGCATTGCGAAAGAGACCCACATTCCTTCCAGTCTCACTCACCCACTCCCTCTTCGTGCTCAAACCTCCAGGGTCCTGTCTCCACGGCATCCAGGCCTGGGTCACATGCCCTCCTCTGACTTCAGCACGTGGCTGTGCCTGGCTCCCAGGCTGCAGTTTTTCGGGCTCAAAGCTTGCAAGTCCTAGCTGCCAGGGACGGATGGGCTTCATGGCGGGGAGAAACTGTGCAGTCACACAGGCCTCATGCTCAGACTGACTCGTTCTTGCTTTAATGCCCTGTTGTTGACCTCTTGAAATTAACAAAATAGTTTTCTTCAACAGGGCCCTGCATTTTCATTTTGCACTGGATCCTGCAAACTATGTAGCTGGTCCTAGTCAGAGACTGTGTCCACCCTGATCCCCACCATATTTCAAATGATGAAATTTGACTTTCAGGTCCAGCCCTCTTTCCAGGATGACAAATTGTTGCTTTAATCGTTGCTTTCCCATCCTGGGCAATGGCAGATCTTGCAAATCCACTCTAGTTGCCTTTCCTTGGTTCTCCCCAAAGATCCCTTTTACCCAACCTGTGAATCCATCCCCCAGCAGCTGTGTTGGCTACTCACAGCTGCCCCATTCTCAGAATGGAAGCCCTAACCTGGTAAGTTACCCTACCCACTAAACCACTGACTGACTGATACAGGGTACAAGAGGCCAGTTCAACTTGGCAGTGTGGTTTGTGCTCTAGAGCCCTGCTCCTGCGATCTGGCCAAGGCTTGGCTTTGAGACTCTACCCCTGCTCAAGGTTCTTCCTTTCCCCCTTCTGCTTCAATCCTTCTTTTACAGGTTTTTCCTGAAGTTCACACCCTCAAAGAAATTTACCTAATGCCTGTCTCAGGCCCTGCTTCTAAGATGATGGGTTTAAATTCAGAATCTTTCTCAACACAGAGCACCAGATTCTAAAAATAGTAAGTTCTTCCTCTAGGTCTATCACAAATTTATTTTAAGCAAATCACTCAAGCCTTCTGGTGACAAATAAGATAGTCCCCAAAGGCATTCCAGCCATGCTCCCTTGCCCACCTGCCAAGCCAATCCCGGCAGAGGAATGAGACCGAGGACAGAACTGAACATCCAGCTCAAAGGAAAGGCACTTAGAACCACCCTAACCTCCAATTTTATTATAGGACACACTGGGGACAGGGGAGGGAAGTGGCAGAGGGGTGACAAAAGAGGGCAGCTGGGGCCCTCCCCAACCATGAGCCTCAGGGCTCAGGTGGGGGGTGAGGCAGAGGCATCAGGTGAGGATGCAGAAAGCCCAAGCATGCTTTACCTTTCACGGGGTACGGGTCGGGTCGCTCATCACGCTGCCGGCCTTCCCAGACCAGAGTGAGGGGGAAAGCCTGCTAGGTGGGAGGGCTGAGCCTGCTGACACTGGGTGGCTCATGGGACAGGCTACTGCCACCCGTGCCTGGAAGCACTGAGACAGGCTCGGTGAACTCCCTCCCTGTAAGCCGCATGGAAGCACCGCCTTCCAGAAGGGACACAAAGAACTGGGCTGAGCTTGTTGGCTCACGCCTCATTTGCTCTGGAGAACAGAGAGGAATAAGACATTCTGGCTTGAAAGGCTTTGTTTCTCACCTCAGTGAAAACAGACACGGGAGAGAGGGGACGGGGTGGGGGGTGGCATGTGTAGTGCAAGACAAAACACTCCAACATCAAGACACAGGCTGAATCTCAACCCTACCACTGAGTGACCTCGGGCAAGTCACTTCACTTTCCTGAGACCCAATTCCTTCATCTGCAAAATGGGAATGGTTAATATCTGCCTCATGTCTGTTGTGAGGATTAAATGAGGAAATGCATGTGACCTTAACCAAGTGCTTTAGGTAGAGAAAGCTCTTGGTAACTGGCCATTATTACGATACTTGATACAACACTGAGAACATGACAGTCAGTGAGGAAGACTCAGTGTGGAAGCTCCAGTGACACGTGGGAGGCCTGGGAGTGCATCTGAGGAAATGCTTGCCTGCCTTCCTCTTCCAGGATCAGGAGGGAGTCCCCCTGTGGGGTGGCGGAGGGGGCACAAGCGAGGGCAGGGGTGGGCGGCGGAGGGGGCTTTAGGAAAGCCCAAGGGCCCCTCACGGGCCTGAGCGGAGGACAAGGATAGAGCAGGGGGTATACTGACCCTCTGAGGACTATTTTTAAACAGTTGGAAGAGGAGAAGGAAGAGAGGGGTGTTTCTTCCCACAGCAGCAACTGCAGAGACATCAAGCTGGATCCACCTAGGCTTTCAGATCCAGCCATCATGGGGCAGCTGCTGGGGGGTACCACTGCCCCCTCCTTTCTCCTCAGTGCCGGGGCTATCAAAAATACATATAAACTGTGAGGAAGGTCACATAAAAACACTTTTCCTGCGTGTATAAAAAAGAGACTGGCCGTGGTCAGTGGCTCAGGATGTGGACCAAGGCCCTAAGAGAGGCCAAGGAGAGTCAGTGGCCACCCAGTGGTGGACGGGCTGGTCTGGGCTGCCTGATGGCTGGGACAGTGCCAGCTCTGGGGGACGCTGTGTTCTCTGACTGGGATACACTTCCGTGGAGCGGAGGTCTGAGGGGCAGGAGGTGTTACAGGGACGCTGGCTCCAGCAGTCCCGCCGTGGCCTATGCTGGGGTAGGCGGTAGGGGTGCCATGGCCCTGGGCCCCAGCGGACTCCTTGCCAAGGGCAGAAGCTTACTTCATGGTAAACCTCCCTAGAGAGCTGGCTTCCAGTAAGTCCCGAAATAGGCTGCGGGGTCCTCTTGTTAGGCTGGATTGAGTGGTCTGGGCAGCAGCAGGGGTACAGTATGATTTCCGCTTCTGAAGGAGGGTCCTACCCAGAGCTTCCAGAAGGCTGTCTCCAGCTGAGACTGACTCCACTGGGGACACCAAGCACAGGAGGGCAGTCAGGGCTATGCGAGGAAGAAGGCTCCAGAGAAACAGGAGCGCTTCCCTGGCAGCCTGCCCACACCCTCAGGCCAGGGCTTCTTGATGTTTCCCTTGGGACGGGGTGAAGGTAAGGAGAGAGGGGTGGCCCTGTCTTCCTAGCACCCACTCTTCCCTACTACTCGCCCTGCAAGGGCCGGGACTATGTGCCTGAGTGAGTGAGGTCCAGGGAGATGACCCCGGGCCCTCTTCTGGGGTCCCAAGCGGCTTCCGGAGCCAGGTGGGTAGTAAAAGGCTGATGGTGGCCTCTGGAGCTCGAGGTTCATTCACCTGGTCAGCCAAGGACCCCCTGTCCCCCCTTCACTGAGGCAAAGCTCGGATGGCCGCACCCCACGGGCAGCCTGAGAGGTGGAAGGTGAAATGTGCGAGGGCTGCTCTGGCTCCGGGGCAGAGGGGCCTGTCCAGCTCCCCGTCCAGTAGGCTTTTCACTGCCCAGCAGGCGCACTAGGCCTGGAGGAGGGGCAGGCCGCGCCGGAGGCCCTCCTTCAGGAACTGCATGTAGGTGGCTGTGGACGGGTCTTCAAAGGTGGATGAGAAGCTGAAGACATTGTTCTCGATGTCCTCAGGCTTCACAGAGGTGATGTCCAAGAAGTAGTTGGCATTGATGTGGTGGACCTGGGAGAAGGGTGGGGTGAGGAGAGCGGGGGCCCAGCCGGGCTCAGTGCCCCCGCGGCCTCAACTGTTCTCGCTGAGGCTGATGGCGGACAGCAGGGGCAACCCGTTCCCCCTCCTCCTCTGCTCACAGGGCCCTCTGACTCCAGGGCTCCACACCTCGCCCACCAGGTGAAACCTAATGCCTTCTGGCATCACCTTTTCCCTCCCCTGCCTCCGGCCCCATGACCTCTCTCCTCTGTTCCCAGAAGCCCTGAACTCCGCACTCACTTCTGTCGAAACGCCCACACGCCTGTGTCCCCATCTGCCTCCCGCTCCAGGAAGGGGCACCTTAAGGGCAGGTGCCCGGTAAACGAACAAACAAATGGAGCGAGTGGGAGAGCACAGGCCACCCGCAGCCCAGGCAGAGTCCTGTCCGCCCAGCTTCGCCACCCCTGGCTGGGCCGAGTCCACCACAATGGGCGCCTGTGTACGGGTGTGAGCTGGCCGGCTCCCCCGGGCCTTTCCTCCTCTGAACTTCAGACAGAAGGCCCTTGGCTGGCACCCTCCTCCTCGCCACCAAGCCCTCACCGGATGCCCCCATTCCAGGCCAGCCCCAGCTCTTGCTCCTGCACTGCTCCCCACCGCTTCCATCCCTCAGTCCCACACTAACCACTCCCTGGGACTTAAAGGTTAAGGGGCAGCTCTGCTCAGAAGAGCAGGTGATACTGAGGCTCACAGGCGGGCGCCTGTTTTGAAAGTCAGCTCCATTTCTTTTTTATTTCTTTATTTTTTTTTTTGGCTGCGCTGCACGGCTTGTGGAATCTTAATTCCCCCACCAGGGACTGAACCCAGGCCCGCAGCAGTGAAGGCGCCAAGTCTTAACCGCTGGACCGCAGGGAATTCCCGGCAGCTGTACTTCTTAATTATGCAGCTTTTGCCAAGTCTCTGAACCTTTCTGAGCCTCAGTTTCCTTGTTTGTGAGATCAGCATTCGTGCTCATCTATCTCCCAAAGCTCCCGTGAGAACCCAACGCAACGATGTGAGTGCTGTGTAAGGGGCCCTTAGGGAGAGATAGGGTCTTGAAGCCTGGCTCAGCCTGGGGCGTCCCCAGGTCCTCTCTGCCTGTCACGACGCCTGTCCGTCCCTCCCTCCCTTCCATCCCAGGACTGGCCGCAATGGTCTGAGGTGAGCCTTCCCTTCCAGGTCACGTTCCTGTCCGCTCTGCTGCTAGACCATGCCCACTGCTGCCAGGTCCCCAAAGTGCTGTTGAGGTTCCCTTTCTGAGGGAGCGTCCCGACACCCGCACGAGGCAGGCCGAGGGGACATCAGGGGATAACTGAGGCTCGGACTGGCTAAGATGCCAGCCAGGAAGTGGTAGAGCCAGACCTGGAGCCTGATGAGGTCTGTAAGCCGTGCCCCTTGTTTGCCGCTTCCTCTGCCCCATGGTGCCTGGCCCGGGGCCAGGGATGAGTGGTGGGGGACCTACCACGGTGCCATTGGGCAGGCAGATCATCATCTCCACGGGGAAGCTGTACTTCTCCAGGTGCAGGCTGGCCAGCTTCTGGTGGGATGGGTTCTCCTGGTTGTTCTATGGGGACAGTTGGGCACACTCCTGACACCTCGGCTCCCAGCACTGTCCCAGGGGCTGCCATGGGGCTCTTCCTGCCCGCCTGCCACTCACCTGCAGGTCCTCCAGCTCCTTCACTAGGGACCAGGTGCTGATGAAGCTCTCATTGAGGAGGGTGAGGATGGGCGAACTTTCCAGGACAGTTTCCCGGAGAGTCCGCCCTGAACCTGTTCCGGGAGAGGCAAGGCCAGGTGGGTGAGTTACCTTGCATGTCTCACTGGGTTTTCTACCAGCAGTAAACCTCATCAACTGTAGAACAGTCAGTACAGCCAGGTGAAAAAACAGATTCAAAGCATCTACCACAGAGGAGGTGAGGAATAAATGGCAGCTGTAACTAACTTCAGTAACATACTGGCATCCTGGGCTGAGACTTGGCTGGGGGTCTGCCTGGCCCAGGGGCTTCTGGACAGTGACAGCTTCTTAAATCCACTAACCTGTGTCCCAGGGCCTTTGCACAGACAATTCTTCTACCTAAAACACTTCCTCTGTCACTTGGAAAACTCATCCTCCTCATCCTTCGAACTCTCAGGTTATATGTCACTTTCTCTGAAGAAGCCTCCCCTGACCCCGCCACCCCCCGTTACACACTCTCGTGCCACTCGGGACCATGCCTTGTGTAAATTCACCACGCTTGTACTTGTTCATTCACCATCTGCCTTCTGCACACACTGTGTGCTCCCTGAGGACTGGGGCTGATTCTGACTTCCTCAGTGCAAGGTGCCCAACACCTAGCCTATGGCTCGGCACGGGAGGTGCCCAGGATGTTTGTCGATTGGCTGCATGTGGGCAGGGCCATTGTTTGCTCATCTTTGTACCCAATGTCAGGCACCCAAAGAACTTTGCACCAGCGGGTCTTTGTTGAATTTCCTGAATAAGTGAATGCAGCCCAGACTCTGGCACTACCTTCTCTCACTCGTGTCCAACACTGCACAGAGTACAGGCACTTTCACGTCTGTTTTCACAACTCTGGGAGCTAAGTACGTTACCCTCTTACTGCTCAGAAAACTGAGGCTCAGGGAAGGAGTCACTTGGCCAAGGTCTCCAGGCTGAAAATGGCTGAGCTGGGCTCTTTCTATTGTGTCCAGCAGCTTCCTCTGGGCTTAGCACAGAAGCCTGCAAGCCCTCACCCCACACCCCGCCCCATGTCGTCCCTGAGTCCCTCATACTGCGACAGGAGAGCGCCACTGGTCTCAGGGCCTCCTGCACCCACAAGGTATGATGTCTGCCCCCCTTTCTCCCCTCAGACTGGAAGGGTCTCCCTCACCTCAGCAGGACTGGTCGTCCAGGGCCCCCCACAGCAGAACTGAGTGCACCAGCTTGTTCTCGGCCTTGGCTCGCTCAAAGGCCTTGGTGAACGGCAGGTAGGTGACCTGGGGCCAAGTCGAGACAGAGAGAAGCTATCGTGTGCCGCCAGGGTCCCATTCAGGGGCTGAGTGTGTGATGTGCATGTAGTGTGTGTCTGTAGTGTATACACGTGTGTGTGTACATATGCATGTATGTTTGCAGTGTGTGTGTCTGTGTGTCTGTGTGAAGGGGTGACGCTGAGCCAGGGGATGCCTCCTCCAAGTTCTAAAGGGCAAAGCGGAGGCTCCCCGGCCCAGGCTGGGCCCCACAGGGAGGCAGCCTCAGCAGCAAGCCCTGCACGGCATCCCACGCCCAGTGCCCACCTGCTGCTCCCACGGCTCCGGACCCAGCCCCAGGGATCCCAACCCTGCCCCTTACCCCCATCTGGCCTCACCTTCTTGAAGGGGTACATGGCCACCTCCAGGCGCCGGGCGGCCTCCTCCCAGCTCAGCTCCTGCTGCCACGTGATCTCCTCAAACACAAACTGGAGGGGCTCCCCTGAGGGCAGGCGGCTGTCGATCATGTTGCCATCCTCGTCCAGGATCACAGAGGGCACTGAGGGGCCCGTGGCCTCCAGCTCCATCTAGGCCAGAGGTCAGTGAGGGATGATGTCACTGAGGGACGTCTCAGCGAGGGGCCTGAGTCCTCCAGGGGCCCCAAGAGACCCTCAAAGATATGCCACTCATTGCAGAGGTGGGGAGACAGGCCCAGGGAAGGGAAGGGCCTGGTCAAGGCTGTGCAGTGAGTCCAGGACAGAGCCAGTGTCCAGCCAGTGTGAAGCCATCTGAGGACCCATGGCAGATGCTGGCTAGGAAGAACAGGTGGCTTCCTAGGATCCTGCTTTGGGGACAGTGGCTTCAGCCTGCAGGAGCTCTGTCTTTCACTGCCCCAAGGCTCCTAGCCAGCTGGGCCTCCCTGCAGCCAGGCTGAGCACCACCTTCCTACCTGGGTAGGGACCCCCTGTGCACTCACCTGGGGTATGTAGCCGATGTCCACCTCCATGTTGCTGCTCTCGCTGGCCCCGTACAGCCACTCCATGTCCACATTCAGAGACCTGGGGACAGGTGAGAGGGTGGCCAGGGCAGAACACCACCGTCATCAAGGCCCATTAACCAGATGTCAGACTTTATCTCACTGAAAGCATGCAGCTGACCCTATTTTATAGATGAGGATGCTGAGACTTGGCAGGGTGAACCCAAGGTCCCAGAGCCACTGGAGTTCTGACGGCAGAGCCTGGGCCCTTTCCTCTCCCCAGGCCGCCTCTTTGGAAGGCACTGTGACCATACCACCCTCCACTGGCCCAGCCCTTTACAGTTCACGAAGGGCTTCCACACCCATGGCTCATGCACTGTCCACGATCCATGACTCTTTGAGACAGCACTCATCAGTGCCTCCCCCAGCGGGAAGTCTGGCCTGAGCATTGCAACCTGAAGATACGCCACATGGGGGCGCCCCAGGACAGACAACCAACCACCTTGGGCAGGTGAAGCAGTCAGGGTGAGCTGGGTGCCCTCAGAGCCGGTCAGCAGTCTTGTGGTCTAGGCCTGAGACACAGGCCCAGGAGCAGTTGCCCCCTCCTTCTGTTTCATTCAGTCCAGGACCCCACCTCCAACCCTGAGCTGAGCCCCTGCAGCACAGGGGCTTGCCCGATGAGCGAGGAAGGAGGAGAGCTCGTCCTTCCTCCTCATTTTCCCCGTGGGCCCAGGGTGCTCCCTCCCTCGGGGGACTGAGAGGAAACCGCTCCTGGTCCTAGGGGCAACTTTCTCTCCCCAGGCTGTCCCAATGACCCCCTCACTCCTGGCCAGGAGGCAGCCTCCCATCTAGCAGATGAGGAAACTGAGGCCTGGAGGGGTCCAGGGCCTTGCCCACAGCCACGGGTGCCACGGCTGAGACTTCGCTCTGGGCCCCTCATCTCTCAGCCCAGGTCTTGTCCCTGCACAGTCACTCAGGTTCACTAAGCGGCTGCGTGCTATCAGGGAGGAATCTGGAAAGACTCTCTGCGTCCCCTGCTTCCCTGCCAAGAGGCCGCCCCTGAGCGGTCAGGCAGGCAAGCAGGCAGGTGACTGGCATTGAGCCCTCCCAGGAGCCGCCCCCTGGCCCCCCAGGGTCTGTGGTAGCAACTGCAGGCGTGGAGGGCCTGCTGCTTAGGCCTTCGTATGTGCCCTTCCCTCTGCCTGGCTAAACTTTCCTCAGCCCCCAGGTCGCTGCACAGACGTCCCTTCCTTTGGGAGGCCTTCCTGGACCCTGACCAGCTGGGTCCCTCCCCACCTGCTGGCCTTCGCCTAGGGTGGCGTGAGCAGGCTGTGGTTACGGGTCTGTTGGAGGTCTGTCAACAGTATGGGGCGGGTGTGGGGGGGGCAGTTCCATCTTCAGGGAGGGGCTGTCGGCCGCTGCGTTGGGTCCCAGCACTGAGCTGGGAGGCCAGGCCCACAGAGCACCTGGGACGCGCCTATCAGACGATGGAATGACCCCCTTCAGCCCACCTCAAGCTACCTCCTCCTGGGTCAGCTCTAGGCCCCTCCCAAGAGAAGTAGCTCTGGGGAGAGACTGCAGGGGCCTCTGGGCCCCTGCATCTGAGCTCCTGGAGCTGGTGGGGGGCAAACGGGAGCAGGGTGCCGGGGCCGAGGCCAAGGCTCTCACCTGTGGTTGGGCACGAAGAGCCGGAAGTCACGGACGTGGGTGGCGTCTTTGGAGAGGATGATGTGGCCCGTGAACTGGCCGGGTGAGAACCAGAAGGGGAAGTCGGGCGGCTCGCTGAGCTGGAACTCTGCATGGATGCTGGAGGGAAAGGGTCCGGCTGGGAGCAGGTTCCCTGCTGAGCAGAGCCTGCCCACCTGCCCTCTCACTTCTGCCCCAAAGCCTGGAACTCTTGGCCAGACTCTGTGCGGGGCAAAGGGCTGGGCGGGGGAGGAAGAAGTGTGTGGGGCAGGCAGAAGGGATGCCCTCCAAGTGCTGCCCATCCTTCAGGGCCCAGTTCACGTGCTGCCTTCCCCAGAAGCCTTGCCCAAGTCTCCTCTGAGCCCTCCAGGGTGTGTGTGGCCTGGTGTCACAGCTCTTACGCACCCCCTTCTGTGTGGATGACAATCATGGCCAACAACCCCATGCTAAGCACATTCAACACCTTTTCTCTTCCTCCTGGAGGAAGTCACCACCGCCCTGATGCACAATGAGGAAAGTGAGGCTCAGAGAGCCAAGGCTGCTTGCCCGGGACCACAGGGTGGTAAGTGGTGGAGCTGGGGGCTTTGAGTCAGGCCCTGCCTCCTGGTGCTCAACCCATCTGTGCTTCCCTGGAGTCCCAGGCCCAGGTGGGAGGCAAGGATGGGGCTGCCAGGACCCCTCACCGGAACATCACGGTGTAGTAGAAGTCGCTGGTGGCGGTCAGGCAGGCGACAGCCCCCTGAGGGGCAAAGCGGGTCTTCACGAAGGGCCGAGGGTGGAACATGCTCAGGAGCCGGTGGATGATGACCTGGGGGGAGGGCAGTGGGACCTGGGCTGGCTTGCTGGGCCCAGCTCCCCTGGGCGAGGGTCAGCTCTGGACCTGGGGCCCAGGTGGGGGCGGGGCCAGAGGCAGGCCAGAGAGCAGGTGGGGTAGGCGTGGCCCCGGGGGTCCAATTGCCGATGGGGAGGGGCCGTGCTGGGGCTGGGGGGCAGGGCCCCGGGGCTTGCCACGGGCTACCCTCACCTCCTTGCCCTTGGGGGGCGGTGGGTAGAAGCGGTTGTTGGACAGATAGCCGGTGAAGACGCTCAGCTCACTGGGGATGATCCACCAGGGCTCGCCTAGCTCCGCGTGGCCCCGAGGGGGAAGAAAGGGCCGGAAGTGGCGGGCGGCAAACACCGCGCTTGGCGAGGCTGCGGTCGTCCAGTTGCGGAGGCCGGACAGGGCCAGGCGGGAGACCTGGGGCAGAGGAAAGTCGAAGCTCTGGGGCACTGAGAACGTCCCAGGCGTATGCGGAGGTCTCCTCGAGCCCTGAGCCAACCCACAAGCCCAGGAAGCAGAGGGACCCGGGAGGCTCCTGCCTGCTCACGGCCACAAGCCTGGCACTCTCCTGCCAGAGCTGAGGCTCATCTCACCTTCCCCGGTCCCTGGTCCAGAGAAGCGGTGCCCCTGCGGCCCCTCAGGTCCAGCCCAGGCCGCAACAGCTCGCTCGAGGGCAGGGGAGCAGGCAGCTGGAGGGGCCCCCCAGGACTGGAACAGGGGGCTCTGTGAGGGGGCTTCTCACGGCCTCTTCCCTCCCTCTCAAAGCCCAGGTCCCGGGCCTCACACAGTCCTGCCTGCCTCTTGTACATAAGCCAGCAGACCAACCCTGGGTGCCCCGCCCTGCCCTGGGCTTCCTCTCCGTCCACTGGCCTTGCCTTCTGCTCTCTAATCCCCCTACCAAGTCTCCTCCCTGCAGCTAATGTCCCGCTGACGAGTCAGAGTTTAGGTTTGGAGTTAAGTCTGCGGAGGGAGGTGGCAGCCACCTTTGGGTGAAACCTCTAGGGCCAAGAGCAGGATGAGACCACAGAGAAGGGGAAGGAAGGGCACCCCCAGAGAGCACCCTGCTTCAATTATAGCCTGGGCCACGCTGGCTGGGCAACCCTGGCAAAAGGCCTTCCCTGAGCCATCTCCTCATCAGTAATCCACCCCACTGCTATCTGATGAGCTGAAGGGTGGGAGAGAATGAGGGTCAGACGCTCTGCAGGCCTCTCTGCACATCTGCCTGGAGCAGAGGCGGAACCTTGGAGCATGCAGGTCCCCTGGTCAAAGCTGCACCTTCAGTAGCTCCTCCCTGCCTTTCTGGGCCACCATCAGTGGCCGCCAGGACAGTGAGTGCCTGGCACCCCTCAGGGTGCTCAGCCACCAGGGAGCTGCCCCACCTTTGACCTCCCTGGTGATGGGACCCGGGCTCAGTGGGAAGCTGAGGTGGGAGGAGAGGGGTTTCACAGGCAAGTTCTCAAAGCGGGGCTGGCTTGCGGCGCCAGGCAGAGACTGCCCGCCTGCTGCGTCCTGTTCACAGGCTGGCGAGCTCCTAGCGGAGTGGCCCACAATAGGGGGCTGAGCTAGGGACGCAGGGCTGGGGTGCTGCTCCGGACCCATCTCCCCTGTACGTGCAGGTGGGCCCCCTGCACCTGCCCCACCCTGTTCTCTCTGCCCTGTAGGAGGGACTCATCTGCTCAGACATCACTTCAGCCCATCAGTGCCAGGCCTTTCTCCACCCAGATCTTACTGGACTCTCCCCCTGGACATCTCTCAGGGAACTCAACTTCAACAGTCCAAACTGACCTCATACCCTCCCTACCAGACCTCCAGCCCCCATCGGGCAATGGGCCCCATGCACCTGGCCACCAGCCAGAAGCCCGAGTCACCTCAACTCCCCCTCCCTCCCTTTCCATTAGTAGCCACACCCTGCCTTTCTTCCTTTCCCAGCATCCCCCGGGCTGCCTTTCCTCTCCATCACCATGGCCTCCCCCCACCTGTCTCCCCCTCCCTCCTGGGAACTGGTCTTCTTGCCTCCCTTTTCTCCCCAGCTGCCAGTTTGGAGAGCCCAGATCTGATGAGAGAATTCTCCTCTTTCAAAATCTGCTATGGTATTTTGCTGCTGCAGAACGGAGGCCAAAGTTAGGCAGCTGAGGCCCTTTGCCATCTGGCAACTTCTCTTCCAGCCCCACTGACCAGGATGCCCCCGCACGTGTCCCCCGTGCCCTGGGTCCAGCCACCCCTTCTCTCTGCCCTCAGTGGCCTGGCTGGCATCTCCTGCTGAAATGACAGTTCAGCTGAGCTGTAAAAGCTGAGTGGCTGTGAGTGAGGCAAAGAGGGAAGGTTGTTCCTGGCTGAGGGACCAGCATATGAGAAGGCTCTCAGCTGGAAGAAAGTCCGGACATCTGGAGTAGCGCAAAGCTGAGAGGAGAGCGCAGGGGAGACAGCGGGAAAGGCGGGCAGGGCCTGGGAGGGATTGAGACCCTGTCCACAGGGCCTCGGGTCCTAACCACAGGGCGGGTTAGGATGGCACTATCAGGGTCATCCCCACCCTACAGCCGTTGCCAGGGGTTGAACCTCAGGTCCGGGTTCATCGGGGCTCAATGGAGCACCTGTCAGGCTCCAGGCACTGTGCTAGGGGCCTGGGGAGGCACAAATGTGTGAGTCACCGGCCTTGCCCTGAGGAAACTCACAGCCTGGGGGGAAAGACTGACTTGCAGCAAGTAATGATGACAAGGGCTGCGGCTGCATCCGCTCGGTCTCTGCACTTGCTGTTTCCTCCAGCCGGATCCTTCTCCCACCCCTGCTGACAGCGGGCTGAGGCCTCGTCCCCTGCAGTCACTGTCAAATGTCATTCCCTGCAGGAGGCCACCCAGATCCCCACTCTGGGTCAGAGGCTCATGCCTATCCCTCCTACCTCCCCTACCAGACTATGTGCCTGGACAGCAGGGACAGCATCGCACCCACTTCTGGACCCCCAGGGCCTGGCGCACTGGGTGCACAGAGGGTGCTGATAAATGATGGGAGGAAAGACAGAAAGAAGGAAAGATGAGCAGAGCACAGACCCATTCTCAGGAGGTGAGCGCACACAGATGGTCCCTCTGTCTCTGGTTCCGCCTGTGGGGGACCCCCTGCCCCAACTTACCCCTAGGAACCCATCTTTGCTCTTGGTCATGGACTCTGGCAGCAGAGGCTGGAAACGGGCTTCTATGGTGAGTGTCTCCTCGCTGGGGTCAGGGGGCAGATCCTCCTCCTCATAGCTGGCCGAAGGAGTTGACCCTGTGAGATACAGGTCGCTGGAGAGGGGTCCTGCCTTAGATGGCAGGGCCTCACTTCTCTCAGGATGTCCACACTGGCCAGTGATTAAGGGAGCCAGGCCTGGCAGGGATGGGGGTGGGGGTGGGGCTGTAACAGGTAACAATCAACAAAGTAACAATATAGATCACATCGTTTATCAAACATACACAAATTGTATATGTATGATATATAATGTGTACATATGTATACCACATGGTATACCACACATACACATTTTCTCCAATGTATATCACATTTTAGTTTCACAGTAACCCTGTGAAGGCAGTATTATCAATTCCATTTTACAAATGAGAAACTGGGGGCTCAGAGAGGTGAAGTCACTTCCCCAAGGACACACAGCTAGGTAGTGTGTGAATCAGGATTCAAATCCAGGCCTGTTTTACTCTAAACCTACGATCAACCACAACCTTCTTGCGGGGGCATTAAGATCTCAAAAGTTTCCTCAAAGGCTTAGGAACCAGACGACCTGGGTTCAAATCCTAGCCCCACTCCTCACCAGCTTGTGTGATGGTCGGCCCAGTGGCTTGTTATGAGGATTAAATGAGATAATCCAGGCCTGGTACAGAGTAAACCCGTAATAAATGTCAGCTGTATTGCTATTACCGGTGGTTTCATGGTTGGGGATCCACAGGGCTAGGGCTCAAACCTAATTCTGACTCTAATGTGTGCTCTTTCCACCAGGCCAGGCTGGCTGCAGAAAGGCCATTCTCACTGTCCCCCTTCCCTCAGCCCAGCTCGGGGGTGAGGTTGGCTCCATTTCCTGGACAATTTGGGGCAAATCACTCATCCTCTCCGGTTTTCCCACATTAGAGATGGAGCCCATGCTCCCGTGCCTGTCCCGTCATGAGGGTCTCATGGAGAGCAAAGGCTGCTCAGAGAGGTCAGGGGACGTGGAATCAGGTCATCTTTGGTGTCCCAGAAAGAGCACTGGTCCAGAAGTGAGGACACCTGCTTCTCCCTGTTTCCTGGGTGGCCCATTTCCCCATCAGTACGAGGGGCTGGACTGGCGGTGGCTGAACTTGATTTGTCAGATCTCTTCCTGCTCAGAGACCTGCCAAGTCTGTAGTCTTTCAAGGGTGGAGGGAGTCACGATGAAGGCTTTAAGGGAGGCATGATGCCTACTGCAGAAGGGGTGCCTAACAGCAGGGCAGGGTCCCACGACACAGATAATGGGACGAAGCATGGGTGGGTCCTGTTACAACTGCTCTCTTGCTGGTAGAGACCACGCCTGGCATTTGTTGACAGGCTGGACTGACAGACTGAATGGGTGCATTAAAATGGGTGCATTCTTAACCAGGAAGCATCAGAATCACCAGGATGCCTTTTTAAACTACCGATGCCCAGGACCCCCCTCAGACCTACTGAGTCAGAGTCTTCGGGGGCTGAATCTGGAAAACGTGCTCCCGATGAACGCTCCCCAGGGGCTCCGGATGCAAAGCCCTATTCTTAAGAACCATGGCTACTTCTGCATTTGTAAGTCAAGGCAACAAAATTTCAGAACAGCAACCTGGAAACCTCCGGGGAAGGGAACAACGGGAATGTGCAGCGTTATACCGGCTGGCTTGCTTATCCAATTACGTAACTGTTGTCACAGGTAATTATGAATGACGCCCAGCATTTTATGGCTCTTTGGTTTTTTAATAAAAAGGTTTATTTCCTGACTTACAAGTAAAATTTGCTCACTACTGACAACTTGTAAAACTTTTAAGGTATAAAGCAGAAAGTTAAGCGCACACAACTGTACCAACTAGAGAGGACTCTTTGCCTCTACTTCCTGCTTAGATTTGGTGTTTCTCTGGTTTTGTTTTTCGTTCTCCCAGAAACTTGGTCCCGTTTTGCACTCACAGTGGCCTAGGAGGTAACTGAGGGAGAGACTCTTTTCCCCCTGATGGAGAAAAAGATTTGTGTGAAAAAATTAAAAGCACCCGCAAGCCCAGCAAGCTTGGCCAACATGTCATCGTGAGGGAACTCTTGCTCTCTGGCCATAAAAAAGGACAAGGAGGTGGCTGTGTGGCTGCTCGGAGAAGTGTGTGCAAAATAAGGAGTCAAAGCAAATCCACACAGGGCTGAGCTGTGTATCTGCCCATCTGCTTTCATGACAGTACTGACTGCCCCTGGGAGGCACTGACACACCGCTCCAGCAAATTAGCATTTTTCATCTGACCCTCCTCCTCCGGCAGTGACCAAAGGCCAGCGGGTCAGCACGTGGCTGACCTACCTGACCCATCCTGAGACACAGAAAGCCCATCACGGTCCTTTGGCGCTTACCTGCCTGAGAGCAGCCGGTGTCTCTTCCTAGACTTTACCATCTATTGACCTACTTACACCAGGCAATTTGGGTAACAAGTAGATGCCCAAGTTCATAAGTTCAAGAAACGTCCCAAGATATGGACACAGAGGTTAGGGTGGTGATGGAGCAGTGAGAGAGGCATTTTATAATTCATTAGAATGCTTCGGCCCCTCATCTTTACAATAAAAATCACTGATTACAACCAGGCAACAATGGGTAACAAGGTGGGATAGGAATCTGACAGCTCCCGAGCAGTTTAATATTGAGCAGTAATGGTAATAGCTCCCGTCTATTGACTACCTACTGCATGGTGGGCACTTTGCAGACATTTTTCTCTAAGCTTCAAATGAGCCGGTGCAGGACCTGAAGACAGAAGGCCCCTAATCCTGGCTCTGCACCTTTCCAGCCTGCGCAAGCTGGAGACCCTTCCTGCGCCTCCGTCTCCTAAACTATGCACGTGAGGATCAGGACAGTGTCCGTCTCACAGGCACTGTGATGATTAAAGAGATGACTCACAGGAGGCGCTTAAAGCCATGTCTGGTCCTGAGAAGGTGGTCAGGGAATGTTAACTAGTTTTAGTCACACGTGAGGAGAACAGGCTTGGGTGTGCGAGTATGTGTGGGTGCCCATGTTGAAGCAGCTCGCCCAAACCACCAGCCGGAAAGTGTCAGAGCTGGGAGGACCCCAGGGCTGCCAGGACGCACCATCCTCCCCCTACTCCAGGCAGCCCTTCTGTTCAGGGCAGACACAGAAGACACAGACCAAGAAGTCCAGGGCGGTGCCCCGGCTCCCTCCTGCCTAGTCCCCAGCCTCTCCCGGTACCTGTCAGCTTCTCAGCAATGGGCTTGAACTCCTCGGGGCTGAGGTACATGTCCCCGTCAGTGTCCAGAGAGGAAAAGAGGAAGAGGCCTTCTGTCCCCAGGGCTTTCAGCGCCGAGTCCTGCTCGGGAGGAGGTGGCTGGGCTGAGCAGTTGTACACCCAACTGGCATCCCAAACGGGCGGAGGGAGCTGCTCCCGCCACATCCTCCTGGGTTCTCTCATCCCATCTCCCAGCCCATCTGTCCAAACGCCACCTCTGCACGCCCCAGGGCCCCAGTCCCCCTTCCCATCCCTCCTGGTCCCTGCTTCACGCTGAGCCTTCATCCACTGTCCACTCTCTAAGTGCCCCCTTTCTATCTGGGCCCATCCCGCCCATCTCGTGTCACCCTCTTGGTCCACCCATTGTCCTCTCCGGTCTCCCCTCCCCACCGTCCCAGCACTGCCGGCCAGTCCAGATGCTCGGGTCCCACCTTTGCTCTACGCTTTGTCTGCACTGTCCCCCTGCAGCCTGTCCCAGCTCCTGCCTCACACTGGGCCAGTCCTCTCACCTCCCCCATCAGTCCTTCCAAGTCTGCCCGACCCCTGGAGCCCCGTTTTCCTATCACTTCCCTGCCGCCTTCCCGGCCCTCCGGCCCCCACCCGACCCCCGCCCCTCGGAGCCCGGTCCCTCTGCGAGCCCCACCGCTGCCCCGGCCCACCCGAGTCTCCCGGCCGCCGCGCCCTCCCCGCCGGCTCGGACCTGCCGCGCGGCCGCCTGGGCCTCGGCGTGGCGAGCGAAGGCCCGGGCGGCGGCGGCAGCGGCGGCGGCGGCGAGG